CACTCTCTCTCAAACAATCCCATCTATCTTTCAGGCTGGAAATGAAACCTGGCTACTGACTGGGCCGCTTTCTGAAATCGCTCAGGTGTTGCTGATTCTCCTAAATCCCTCCCGATGTCACCACTGCTTTGCACCTTTATATAAAAATCAGTGTTTCAGCTAGGCACGGTGGCTCACGACTGTAATCCTAGCACTTTGGGAGACCGAGGCATAAGGATCACTTGAGGTCTGGAGTTCAACACCAGCCTGGTCAACATGATGAAACACATTTGTAATCCCAGGCTGAGGCAAGATGACTTGAACCCAGCAGGGGGAGGCTGCAGTGAGCCAAGATTGTGCCACTGCACTTCGATCTGAACGACAGAGCGAGACTGTCTCAAAAATGAAAAGTAAAGAAAAAAAAGCTGTTGGGCGCTGTGGTGCATGCCTGTAATCCCAGCACTTTGAGAGGCCAAGGTGGGTGAATCACCTGAGATCAGGAGTTTGGGACCAGCCTGGCCAACATGGCAAAACACCATCATTACTAAAAAAATTAGCTGGGCACAGTGATGGGCACCTGCAATCCCAGCTACAGGGAAGGCTGAAGCAGGAGAATCGCTTGAACACAGGAGGGCAGAGGTTGAAAGAGAAAGAAAGGGAAAGAGAAAAGAAAGAAGAAAGAGAAAGAAAGATCAATTGACTGATCGATCCTAGTCAACATGGTGAAACCCCGTCTCTACTAAAAAATACAAAAATTAGCTGGGTGTGGTGGCGTGTGCCTGTAGTCCCAGCTACTAGGGAGGCTGAGGCAGGAGAACTGCTCAAACCCAGGAGGCGAAGATTGCAGTGAGCCGAGATTGCACCACTGTACTCCAGCCTGGTACCTGGCAACGGAGCAAGACTCTGTCTCAAGAAAGAAGGGAAGGGAGAGGGGGGAGAGGGGAGAAAGGGGAGAAAGGGGAAAGAGGGAAGAGAGGGGAGAGAGGGGGGGAGGGGGGAGAGGGGGAGAGAAGAAGGAGAAAGGAGGGAAGGAGAAAGGAAGAAAGGAAAAAGAAAAATCAGTGTTTTTCTGAGGATCCTGCTCTCAAGGAGCAATTATTCACTGGTTCATTTCTACATTTCCTCTCATTCATTGCCTGAATCTTAGTCTTGTCATCTCCCTGATGGCATCCCATTGGACAACCATTCAATACTCCAGCCCCTCAGTCCTTCATCTCAATTACAAAGACATTTCCCTTCCATTCACCTTAGCTACCCACTTCCAAGATCACACCTAACCTTTGTCAACCCCAGGAATTGCTGTCTCCAAAATCTTCACATCTCACTTTCTGACCCAACCTTCAATCTGTGCTGCTCTTTTTATCCACACAAGTTCTTTGAATCTCATCAACACTAAGCTCCTGACTTCCTTCCATCTCCCCATTATTCTCTTTTGTTTTCTTACTCAACCTGGATCCCATACATTAATCACTACCCTCACTATTCAAATACCTCCACTATCATCTCTGATCAGTAAAACCCCTACTCAAACTTCCTCTGCTCCTATAACCATGTTGCTATCAAAGCTGTGGAAAAATCACATATCCATACAGACTGGAAACCCCAAATACTTGCCTCCTACTTTAACTGAGCCCTTCCTGTTGCCCGGCAGATTAATTGGTTTCTAGGCACACACTTCGCTGATCCCCATGGAGGTTGTATGTCAAGCCTTCTCTTCTATCCTCACATATCCTACAATCTCTTCAAACTTCCCCAAATTCTGTAGACTATTAAAATTTCTCATTAAGAAAACAAAAAGACCTAAGATGGAATTACCTCAACTTCCTCATGCCATCTCAGCTATAAGCATCCTTGTTTATAATACAGTACAAGAGTAGATATGAGCACAGGCTCTAAGGCAGATGCTCAATCTCTCAGTGCCTCTGTTCCTTCCTGCACCCCCTAGAAAGCCCCTTCCCAATGGCATTCAAAATCATTTACACCATATACCTCTTAGAGTGTGAAGCATTTCTGATACCTCCTAGCTTCAAAGGATTGTTAAATGAGTTAATACACATAGACTGCTTATAACAGTGACTGGCATGCAACGGCTGGGGCTGCAAAAAAAAAAAAAAAAAAAAAAGAAAAAGAAAAAAAAAAGAAACAGTGATTGGCACACAGTAAGCTCCCAATTAATGTTCGTCATTTTTTTTTAATACTATCAGTATCTGCACTTATTCTTACCTCCAACTGCAATGTGAGAGACATTCTCTTCTTCTAAGGCAAATCCTTCGCCAATGTTCTAGATGCCATCCCTTCAAGGGACTTGAACATCAATTATTCAAATTCCTTCCATGTAGTATATAAACATGCTCAATTATTACCCATCTTAAAAATAACCGTCCACAAGCCAGTATCCCCATCTAGCTGCCTCCTCCTCACATCACCCCTCCTCTAACTACCCTTCATAATCAAAATTCTTTGTCCACATCCCCTGTATCCATTTCTCAAATTTTTATTATTCACTTAGTGCACTTCTATTATCTCACTGCAGTTTGAGTTCAGAATTCAATTCTCTAACCAAACTGCTTTTGCTAAGGCAGTGGTTCTCAACAGGGAGCAATTTTGCCCCCCAGTGGCCATCTGAAGCCATTTTGTGGTTGTCACAACTTGGAGAGGTTAAGGACTGCTACTGGCATCTGGTAGGTGGAGACCACGGATGCTATTAAACATCCTACAATGCACAGGGCGGCATCCCACAGGGGATTATCCAACCCAAAGTATCAATAGTATCGAGGTTGAGATGTAGAATGCTTATATTACTCAACATAATGAATGCCTTCTACCCTTTACATGACATAGCCTGGCTTAAATACTTGATACTACTAGCTTTTCCTAACATTCATTCTTCCTTTGTGTTCCACTGACCACGCCTCACTGAGCATTCCCAGTCGGTTTTAGGATCCTCTTCTGCTCATCTACTAAATGTCAGTATTGCTCAGTTTCCTCCTAGGTTCTTCTCTTTCCATATATTGTCCCTAAAAACTAGAATCATCTGGGGCTTTTTCTTTTTTTTTTTTTGAGACGTTGTTTCCCTCTTGTTACCCAGGCTGGAGTGCAATGGCGCCATCTCGGCTCACCGCAACCTCCGCCTCCTGGGTTCAGGCAATTCTCCTGCCTCAGCCTCCTGAGTAGCTGGGATTACAGGCACGCGCCACCATGCCCAGCTAATTTTTTGCATTTTTAGTAGAGACGGGGTTTTGTCACGTTGACCAGGATGGCCTCGATCTCATGACCTCGTGATCCACCCGCCTCAGCCTCCCAAAGTGCTGGGATTACAGGCGTGAGCCACCGCGCCCGGCCTGGGGCTCTTTTAAAATACGCTCAGGCCTCACTCACAGATTTGTTTTGGAGGGGTTAGGAACATTAGGAAGAAACATTTGGAAGGGAAGCTCAATAGTACTGAAGTTCTATTCCGTACTCATTTCTTTAAACACAATTATTTTACATCCAAGTGCAAAGGTCAAGTAAGCAACTGGGAGAGGGGACAGATCAGGACTGGAGACATAAATTTGGTAGTCATCACCATATTAGATAGCATTTAAAGACATATCCTGAATTAACTTGCCCAGGATAAAAGTGATTAAGAGAAAGGGGCTTAGAAAAAGCCCTGATAAACTTCCAACATGTAGAGGTCAAATTGAGAAGGTAGACATATAATTCATTAAGGGAGAAATCAGGGAAACGGGGTATTGAATGCTATATTCTGAGTTGCAGAACTATAGGATGTCTCTATCTAGAAGTTTCAAGAGTACTCCAAACTCAACATACTCAAGCAGAATTCCCATCCTGCCAGCAAAGCTGTTCCTTTCCCAATGTCCTTTCCTAAGGAACAGCATTATCTACCCAATCATGCAGGCCAGAAACCAGACTCTTCCTTGTCTATTTCTGACATCCAGTTAAATCTTGTCAAATTTCCCTCCTCATTTTTCAAATCTAGTTATCTCCATTCTCCTAGTCACTATCTGGGCCTCAGATGAATATAATCCCTCACCTGGCTGTCTCCAGTCCAGTTATCCCACAAGGCAGTCATAATCAACATCTATCTGATGCCACTCAAATCAGATCATGCCATACCCATTTACCATCTTTTAATGACTACTTGGAGCGAGGTAAAGAGTGAAATGCAAGCACCTTGTCATAGAGCTTGTTTACCTCTCCAGTCTTTTCTTCTGCATGACCACCCTTGAACGCTCCCTCAGTCACAAAGAACTACATACAATTCTCAAGTGCAGATCCTGCTCCCCACTCTTTTTCTTAACTTCTGATTTGTTCATTTGTTTCCTGCTGGGAACACCATTTTCTCACCTCAGCTTCTGTACTTAATGAACTCCTAGTCTTTCTTCCCTCCACATTTGCCTTTTCCTACTCCTATGTGATTAAATTTAGTATCCTTCAAATCAGCCCTCTAAGTACCTTGTTACTTTTTACCGGAGCACTTATTGACTATGCTTTCTATTTACTTGGTCAGCAATGTGTCTAGAATCTGATCCAGTGCCTTACCCATAGTTAAGAGTAGAATAAACAGTGCTCTAATAAACAGCAAAAAACAAACATACACGTTGCCATCTTAACCCTGGCTTATAAATCCTTTCTCTTTGTTAGCGCTCCATATTCCCAGCATCTACAACACTGCCCTAAATAAATGGTTGTCAACTGTAAACTGATACTAAACAACTGTATCAAAATCACCTGGTAAGCTTGATGTAACCAAACATTGCCAGCCGTAACTTCCCATACCTCACCAAGTTCTGAACCAGCAGACCTAAGGGGAAGCCTAGTAATCTAATTTTAACAAACTCTTAAGGTGATTCTAACTTGTAGTAATTCCTGGGAACCACTAAACACAGTAGGAGCGCAATAAATATTGTTGAAAGTAACATTTTAATTTACTGAAGTGTATTTCCTAATTCTTTAGGGTTAGAGTCTAATGTAACTGAGTCCTGAGTGTGACAGAACAATGTGCTAATATGTACAAAAAGTCCACAAAAACAAGCAGCCTTTATTGCAGTATTACAAAACACTTTTCATTTTGGCAATATTTTACAACGCATTTAGCTCCAAGGGTTGGGGAGAAGGTTGGAAACTAAAGGGGGAAATCTCAACGGACATTTCTAAAAGAAAAACTGTCCCAGCCCTCCCACCCAAATAAAAATCCAAATGTCACTTAATTTCACTACCCAAGAAGAGGCCACGAGGAAAGCAGCAGGCAAAACTCTGGCAATTTCACTATGGATCATGTCAGAGACAAAGGAACATTCAAAACAGTCATCAGTATGGTCGGTTGCGCTGATCGTTTCTGTAGTCGTTTCTAGGAATGAAAAATAAAGAGCCGGACTAAATTCTAATTTTCTACTAAGGGGGAGCATCAGACACTTCTTCAGAGCACTAGTGACCGGTAGCAGCTAGACAATTTCTAAAGAATGACATCATACCCGATTTATTTCTGTACTCCTAGAAGATACTTAAATGTATAATTTATCAGCTTTAAGATTTACAAAGTTCCTAGAAGAAGCTTTGCTTCACTCTCTTACATTCTAAATAGAAGAGTAGCAGAGTGGAATGAGCAAGCACTTACATGTATGAATTCTGGATCTGTCATTTACTATGTGACCTTAGAAAAGTTGTACTAAATGACTCTGACTCTGTAAAATGGGAAGTATACCTACCTTCATGGAGATGATGAAAGGATTAGAACTAAAGAATACAGAATACTTTACATTATTGGCCACACGGTAAGAAGTGTTCAATAGATGGTAATTAGGTTACCAACAATTACTAATAGCTAAAAATTATATAGTGCTTACTAGGGGCCAGCAACTAGTACAATGTAATCTAATACAAATCTAAAAAGGAAGTTTTATTAGCCCCACTTTACAGATAAGAGTACAGACACTCCAAAGGATTACGTAACTTTCCTAAGATCACACAGCTAGTAAGTGGAGTTGGGATTTAAACCCAGACAATTTCCCAAATCCATGCTCTTAACCATATTCAATACTAATTGTCACTGCCTTATAATGCCTCTGGCATACAGGTCCTCAGAATAATAATTGAAGTTACTTTCTATCACTGGTCTTCAACTTCTTATGTGTCTACACCATTCATGTGCACAAGGCATTCCCAACGGTGGTTTTCATCTGGAAAAGCTATTATCAGAATCTCTAGAAAAACAACTGCAGGGTAGTGCACATGATTTAAAAAAGAACCACCCAATGAAAGGTGTGTTTCTCCACTTAGATTAGGAACTCCTGATTGACACATAGTTTCAATTTATTCTCTCTCAATCTCAATTATCTTTAGCTATGAGAAAAAAAATAATACACACAGATACAACCAAACAAATATAAATATTTATGAATAACAATTTCCAGCAGGTGCTTTGGCTCACACATGTAATCCCAACACTTTGGGAGGCCAAGACAGGAGGACCACTTAAGGCCAGGAGTCTGAGACTAGCCTGGGCAACAAAGTGTGACCCTGTATCTATAAAAAAATTTAAAAATTGGCCAGATGTGGTGGCATACACCTATAGTCCCAGCTACTTGGAGACTGAGACAGAAGTATTGCTTGAGTTTGAGGTTACAATGAGCTATAATCATACCACTGCACTCTAGCCTGGGTGACAGAGCAAGACCCTGTCTCTATCACTAAATTTAATTTTTTATTGTCTCTAAAAAACAATAAACACTAAAGTTAAACAATAAAAAGTTCCAAAACAAAATTTTAGAAATTGCTAAGCAGGAAACTAAATTATCTTCTCCATCGTGAGAGAATTGCCAATGAGAACTGAGTTTTTGGAACTCAAGTTCCAAAAAATTAAAATGTTCAACAAGAAAAAAGAAATTAAAAAAAAGAAAGAAAGAAAGAAAGAAAGAAAATGTCGTTCAAACCCCCAAATACAGGTGCAGTGAGGTAAAAAGGTTAATAAATGCATTCTAATACTCACCTTCCTCCCATTTTGCCTCCATAGCCACCTCTGTCTCCTCCATAGCCCCCACCTCGGTCTCCTCCATAGCCGCCACCACCACTCCTGTCTCCTCCATAGCCTCCACTTCGGTCTCCACCGTAGCCACTGCCACCACCACGGTCTCCTCCATAGCCCCCGCGGCTTCTGTCTCCTCCATAGCCCCCTCGATCTCCTCCATAGCCCCCTCGATCTCCTCCATAACCTCCTCGGTCTCCTCCATAGCCGCCTCGGTCTCCGCCATAGCCTCCTCCTCTGTCTCCTCCATAGCCACCTCGATCTCCTCCATAGCCACCTCCTCGGTCTCCTCCATAGCCGCCTCCTCTGTCCCCACCATAGCCTCCACCTCTGTCCCCACCATAGCCACCCCCACTTCTGTCTCCACCATAGCCCCCCCCACTTCTATCTCCGCTGTAGCCACCACCGCTGCTTCTGTCTCCACCATAGCCACCCCCACTTCTGTCTCCACCGTAGCCGCCTCGGTCTCCACCTCTGCCCCCACGACCTCTGTAGCCCCTCTCTCCACCGTAGCCTCTCCCCCGGAAATCTGCAAGGTAGAAATGCAAACAATGAGGCCAGCAGAACAACGTAAAGACCCCTTAATGCTAGTCAGAAGATAAGCACAATGCAGATGCTATTACAAGGCTGACCCACCTCCTCCTGAGGGACGAGAGTCCTCTGGTCTAGGCTCATTGCACTGATTGCAGGAATTCCTTCGAGCAAAGTTCATATTTCCACATGACCTAAGAAAGGAGGAAAATACAATGCTCCTAGAGTTTCCAACGGACTCAGAACCCCCTTCTGTATCCTCCAACCCCAACCCCAACCCCTACTCTCACCAAAGTAAGCAAGATACACTTACGGATTAGGACAAACCCAATCCCCACTTTTGGGGTCTCCGCCTCTCCCCTGAAAGCCTCCACGACCTCTATATCCTCCACGGCCTAGGCGGATGGGGCCAGGGGAGAAAGATTAAAAGCAGACATTAACAAAACAGAAGAAAAGCATCAGATAATGTAAGAGTAGGTACCCATCAATGCTTACGCAGGACTCTGCAAATTAATCCCTTACAGCAGGACTTTTTAATTCTTTGGTTTGGGTCTTGTACTCAGTAAACAGAGGAACTTGAAAACAGACCCTAGGCACACAATACGGTGCAAATAATGCACAAGAGAACTTCAAAATCCCTTTACTTTTTCTTTTTTTTGAGATGGAGTGTCACTGTCTCCCAGGCTATAGTGCAGTGGCATGATTTCAGCTCACTGCAATCTCTGCCTCCTGGGTTCAAGCAATTACCCTGCCTCAGCCACCCAAATAGCTGGGACTACAGGCGTGTGCCACTACGCCCAGCTAATTTTTTTTTATTTTCAGTACAGATGGGGTTTCACCATGTTGGCCAGGATGGTCTCTATCTCCCGACCTCATGATCTGCCTGTCTCAGCCTCCGAAAGTGCTGGGATCACTGGCGTGAGCCACTGTGCCCAGTCTCAAAGTCCATTTTCTACAATACAGGTTGAGTATCCCTCTCCCCCAAATACTTGGGACACTCCGATTTTAGATTTTTCAGATTTTGCAGTATTTGCCTTATACCTGTGAGCTGAGCAGCCCAAATCAAAAAACCCTAAACCTGAAATGCTCTAATTACCATTTCGTTTGAGCATCATTTTGTCGGTGCTCAAAAGGTTTTGGATTCTGGGCTGGCATGGTGGCTCATGCTTGTAACCCTAGCACTTTGGGAGGCCAAGGCAGGCAGATCACAAGGTCAGGAGAGAGAGATCATCCTGGCCAACATGGTGAAACCCTGTCTCTACTGAAAATATAAAAATTAGCTGGGTGTGGTGGCATGCACCTCCAACCTACTAGGGAGGTTGAGGCAGGAGAATTGCTTGAACCAGGGAGTTGGAGGTTGCAGTGAGCCGAGATCACGCCACTGCACTCCACCCTGGGCAACAGAGTGAGACTCTGTCACAAATTTTAAAAAAAAAAATTTTTTTTGGATTCTGTAGCATTTCCAATTTCAGATTTTCAGACTTGGGATACAAAACCTGTACCCTACTTAGTTTGAGAATCTCCATGATGAAGATTAGGTGAGAAGACAAACTCCAAATTTGAGAATATGAACAGCAAAGGCCACATAACGTCCACCCACCCGCACACACACAAAAGACGAGAATATGAATCCCATAGAAATAAAGAAGCTGGGTTGGGTGTGGTGGCTCAAACCTGTAATCCCAGCACTTTGGGAGGCCAAAGCAGGCAGATCACCTGAAGTCAGGAGTTGGAGACCAGCCTGACCAAAATGGAGAAACCCTGTCTCTACTGAAAATACAAAATTAGCTGAGCACAGTGAAACATGCCTATAATCTCAGCTACTTAGGAGGCTAAGGCAGAAGAACTGCTTGAACCCGGGAGGCGGAGGTTGTGGTGAGCTGAGATCATGCCACTGCACTCCAGCCTGGGCAACAGAGCAAGATGCTGTCTCAAAAAAAAAAAAAAAAAAAAAAAAAAGACACTGTCTCTTGCCTCATGATTTCCAAGTGACCAAGAAACCACGATACAGCTTTCCAAAGAGATTTCTACAACCATTTCCCACTTTTACAATATGTCATTTACCCAATCTATTCAGTACCTGAACTCATTTTAAGACAGAAGGAAAAAGACCTAGTGAGAGAAAAAGTACTAGCAAGTTCACACAAACAGAATGTGAACTCAAATTTAAACCCTCGGATACTATCCAGAACTGTGCGCAGCAAGGATCTTACCTCGCCGCCCACCTCCACTTCCACCTCCTCTCATGAATTCAGGTCTTCTAGTGGCAAAGGACACTTTAATGATGTTGCCATGGAATTCTTTTCCTAAGAAAGAAGAAATCAGTTATGAAGCAATGCTACAAAATATATAACAAAAACATGAAACAGTCGTGTTAATTCTTAGTTTCAGAGGGATAAGTGACATGTCTTCATAGAAATTCAAATGCACTGGTATTCTAAAGAGTCAAGGTAACAGTGCTAAAAAAAAATGGCATTACTGAAAAGAGCATATCTGTCACTGGGGGATAGTCATTTCTCTTTAAGCTTAAATACAAACAAACAAATAGGGTGGAGTGGTATGTGTCTGTAGTCCCAGCTCCCAGCTACTCAGGAGGCTGAGGTGGGAGATCATTTGAGTATAGGAGCCTAAGACCAGACTGGACCAGCAAGGAGTCAGGGGTGGGGAAAAAGGCCAGGTACAGTGGCTTATATCTGTAATCACAGCACTTTGGGAGGCTTGAGACAGGAGCCTTGCTTGAGGTCAAGAACTTGTGAGAAGCCTGAGAACACAGTGAGACCCTGTCTCTGAAAAAATTTTTTAATTAGGTGGGCATGGTGACATGCCCCTGTAGTCCTAGCAACTCAGAATGCTGAGGCAGGAGGATTACTTGAACTTGGGAATTCAAGGCTGCAGTGAGCTATCATTGCACAGTATTCCAGCCTGGAAGAGTGGCATCCTCTTTAGAAAAAAAAAAAAAAAGTTGGGTGTGATGACTCACACTTGTAATCACAGCACTTTTGGAGGCCAAAGAAGTAGGCAAACACAGTGAAATCCCATCTCTACAAAAAATACAAGAAAATTAACTGGGTGTGGTGGCGTCTATAAGTCCCAGCTACTTAGGAGGTTGAGGCAGTAGGATCACCTGAGCCCGATAGTCCAGGCTATGATCACACCACTGCACTCTAACCTGGGCAACAGTCTCAAAGAAAAAAAAAAAAAAAAAAAAAAAAGGTCAGGTGCATATGTTCCCATGGCTGGGAGGGGAAGGGGAACAACCTATATCTAACATTTTTACATGGGAAAAAAAGGCAACTGTAGACTATGTGAAGTATGACACCACTTGTTTATTTAGGGGAATGAGTATGTGTGCAAGTGCAAGAACATGTACATACTTATCTACACATATTCTCAGACGTATTGCCCACTGTGCTTACTAGGGAAAACAAGATCACCGGAGGTCAAAGGTGAAAAAGAAACTCGTATTTTACCACCTGCCCATGGTAGCATTTGAAATGTTCCTACCATTTCCAAAGTAGTATATTAAGAATTGGTAATTTTTTTTAAAAAAAGTAGGAAATAAGAATTGGTAAGATCTGAACTATGGAGTTAGGTTTAAAAGGCACATGTGCTTTATAGACAAAAGTCACTATAATTTCTGAATATACCATACGCAAAAGAAATAGTTTCAAAAGTCATTTCTCTTATTCTTATGAACGCAGAAAGAGAGAAAAAAATGGACTTAGCCTTCAAAAGCAAGGTGATGAAGCCTGACAAATTAGTTTAAAAAAGTAAAGCACACAGAAGGGGACAAATTTCTTTTTTTTTTTTTTTTTTTTTGAGACAGAGTCTTGCTGTGCCACCCAGGCTGAACTGTGGTGGCATGATCTCAGCTCACTGCAACCTCCACTTGCCAGGTTCATGCAATTCTCCTGCCTCAGCCTCCCAAGTAGCTGGGATTACAGGTGCCCACCATCACGCTCAGCTAATTTCTGTATTTTTAGTAGAGATGGGGTTTCACCATGTTAGCCAGGCTGATTCTGAACTCCTGACTTCGTGATCCATCTGCCTTGGACTCCCAAAGTGGTAGGATTATAGGCGTGAGCCACTGCGCCCGGCCTACAATCTCATCTTCAAAGAAGAAAAATAACAGAATTATGTTTTGGAAGACACAGGTACAATAATCTTGTAAGTGGAAGGAGCTGCAAGTGTCTGTCAATTCAGCATAGTTAAGTACTTTGGAAAGAGTAGATCTAGCATGCCTGAGTTTGAATATGACTCTGCCACTTACTCTGTGATCTTGGAAATTACTTAGCTTCTCTATGCATCAGTTTCACTGTCTATAAAATGGGAGTAACAGGGTGTATTACTATGAAGATTAGATTACTATGAAGATTAATTGAGTTAATGCATGCAAAGCTCTTAAAGTTATGTTTAGCTCATAAACCTCAGTAAACAAGCAGTACGTGTTAGTTACTTAAAACTAGGGTGTAATAAAAACAAATTTGTAACATGAGGAAAATTATGTTAAAATGTTAAATGAAAAAATGGTAAGACAAAACTCTATTTGGAGTATTATAAAACACATTTTAAAAGAGTAAAAGAAAAATTATTAAGAAATATTATCAGTGGCCACCTGAGTAGAGGACTGTAGATATTTTGCTCATTTCTTCTACTTTCCGCAAAAAATAGTCTATTTCTTCTAAGTAGATATTTACTTTATATTTGAAGGGAAATTAACCTGAATTTTACTTTATTTATTTACTGGGGTTTTTCTGACAGGTTCTTGCTATTGCCCAGGCTGGAATGCAGCCTTGCCATCCTGGGCTCAAGCAATAACTCTCACCTCAGCCTCCTGGGTAGCTGGAACCACAGGTATACACCACTATATCCAGGTTATCAAAAAAAAAAGAAAATTTTTTTTTTTTTTTTGGTAGAGGCAAGCTTTCACTACGTTGGCCTGGCTGGTCTCCAACTCCTGCACTCAACTGATCCTCCTGCCTCATATTCCCAAAGTGCTGGGACCACAGGCATAAGCAATGCCACCTGGCCTAAATTTCAAACTATAAAGTCAGTGATGAGAAATCACTTCATGAGTAAAACGTACATTACTCAAGTGACAGATACAGGAAAAGCCCAGACTTTACCACAATGCAACATATCCATATAACAAAATGCCACCTGTACCTCTTAAATTTTTTTAAAAAGAAAAAATAAGGTACAGTCAACCAAGCCAACTATCTACACCTGTATCAGGTTAGACTCATGCACAAGGCATGATATATAAGGAAATATGCTAGACCAACCTGTTCTTGGATAGAGCTCATCTCATTTCTAAAGGTACATAAAAATTCTGGCCTGTACTCTTAACATCTGCAAAAGTAAACATGAATATAACCACTGAGCATATTCTGAACTCCAGACTAGAAAACATTTATCCAAACTTCATGTTTAAAACTATATGAATGACATACCATCAAACCAGTCAATGGCTGCCTTAGCTGAAGGAGGGTCATCAAATGACACTGTTGCCTCCCCCTTTGGCTTCCCTGTGTCCTTGTCTGTATAAAGGTTTATCATTGGTTTTCCGGTCTTCTTATTTGTCTGAGGAAAAGAAAAAAAAACTTGGTGGTAGCATTTAAAGATAAGTAATCATGTACCATTTAGATATATCAAGATTTATTTTTTCAAGGAATTCACACATCCATACTATACAATACTATGCACCTAATATCAAGTTACCTGTAGGTTTGAACAAGGATAACTCTACAAGCTACAGTAAGTGAAAAATGATATAGTATACTGTTTTACCTATGTATAATTTCTTTTTTTAAAAATTAAGACAGGGTTTCACTGTCACCCAGGTTGGAATGCAGTAGCACCATCATAAGCTCACTGTAGCCTAAAATTCCTGGACTCAAGTAATCCTCCCACCTCAGTCTCCCGAGTAGCTGGGATTACAAGCAAGTACCACCACGCCCAGCTTTTTTGTTGCTGTAGAGATGGGGTCTTGCTATATTGCCCAGGCTGGTCTCAAACCACTGGGACAGGGGAATAAAACAGGAGAATTTTTACTTTTTCAAAACTCTGTGAATTTAGGCCAGGTGTGTGGCCTGTAATCCCAGCACTTGGTGGGAGGCTGAGGTGGGAGGATCGCTTGAGCCCAGGAGCTCAAGACCAGCCTGGGCAATAATAGGAAGACTCCGTCTCTATGGAAACTTTTTAAAAATTAGCTGGGCATGAAGCATGCACTAGTGCAGGCGTCCCCAAACTGCGGCCCCCTGAGGCCATTTCTCCGGCCCCCCACTGCACTTCAGGAAGGGGCACCTCTTTCATTGGTGGTCGGTGAGAGGAGCACGGTATGTGGCGGCCCTCCAACCGTCTGAGGGATCGTGAACTGGCTCCCTGTGTAAAAAGTTTGGGGACACCAGCACTAGTGGTTCCAACTACTCAGGAAGCTGAAGTGGGAAGGCTGCTTGAGCCCAGGAGATTGAGGCTGCAGTGATCCATGATCACGCAGTGGCACTCCAGCCTGGGTGCAATGGAGCAAGATACTGTGTCTCAAGACAACAACAACAACAAAACCTCTGAATTTTTTATATATTTTGTGTGTAATTAATTCCTTAACAAATTATAACTCCCAAAGAAAGAACACAGTAATTCCATAACACCAAAACAAGTGCAGATGTAAACTGATTCCAAGCCACTCCTACTATCTAAACACTGCTAAAGCCACTTTCTAGTTGAAGAGATGAAAAATATATGCATGAGGTTAATAGTGCACAAGACATTTTAGTGAACAATGAGCAATTATAAGATAATACATTATCTCTAGTATAAACATAAAATAATTATTTCTCACAATTTTAGGAATTAAACAGAGCTAATTTTAGAGTCCTAGGACGGAAGCTAAAGCATAGGTAGACTGTGGAAAGGTAAACAGAAGGAAAGAATAAAATAATAAAATCTGGGAGAGAGATCCAAGATGGCAGATCACTAGCAGCTCAGGATTGTAGCTCCCAGTGAAAGCGCAGAGAACGAGACGACGCCACACTTTCAGATGAATTCTTGTTGCTCACGCACCAGGAGATTCCCAGCGGAGGAGCCCCATGGGTCGCCAGCACAACTCTTGTGGCCGGCGAGGTGGTTTCGCCGGTGCCTCGGAGCGGCGGTTCTTGGTGCAGAGTCAGAAAAGCACCATCAATCTTAACGCCGCTGTTTTGGCCGGCGCAGTGGGTTGAGCAGATTCCGGCGCTGCGAATCAACAAGTTGGACGTCCACTCAGAAATCCAATTACAAAGATGGTAATTATAAAGACCACAGATGGATAAATCTAAAACGAAGGCAAGAAACCAGCCTAAAAAGGCTGAGAATACCCAAAATCAGAACATCTCTCCCTCTACAGGGGATCACAGTTCCTTATCAGCAACGTAACAAGGCCTGATAGAGACCAAGTATGTTCCATTATCGGAAGCAGGCTTTAAAAGGTGGATGATAAGAAACTTCAGTGAATTAAAAGAACTTGTTCTAACCCAATGCAAAGAAACTAAAAACTTTGAAAAAAGGTTTGACGAAATGTTAACAAGAATATACAATTTAGAGAGGAATATAAGTAAATTGTTGGAGCTGAAAAACACAACACAAGAACTTCGCAAAGTATGCACAAGTTTTAATAGCTGAATTGATCAAGCAGAAGAAAGGATATCAGAGGTCGAAGACCAACTTAATGAAATAAAACGAGAAGACAAGATTAGAGAAAAAAGGATAAAAAGGAACAAGGAAAGTCTCCAAGAAATATGGGACTATGTGAAAAGACCTAATCTACATTTGATAGGTGTACCTGAATGTGACGAAGAGAATGAATCCAAGCTGGAAAATACGCTTCAGGATATTATTCAGGAAAATTTTCCTAACGTAGCAAGGCAGAACAATATTCAATTCCACCTAATACAGAGAACACCACAAAGATATTCCTCAAGAAGACCAACCTCAAGGCACATAATCGTCAGATTCACCAGGGTTGAAATGAAGGAGAAAATATTAAGGGCAGCCAGAGAGAAAGGTCAGGTTACCTACAAAGGGAAGCCTATCAGACTCACAGCAGATCTCTCAGCAGAAACCCTACAAGCCAGAAGAGAGTGGGGGCCAATATTCAACATCCTTAAAGAAAAGAACTTTCAACCCAGAATTTCACATCCAGCCAAACTAAGCTTTATAAGCGAAGGAAAAATAAAGTATTTTGTGAACAAGCAAGCACTCAGAGATTTCATCACCACCAGGCCTGCTTTACAAGAGCTTCTGAAAGAATCACTACACATAGAAAGGAACAAACAGTATCAGCCTTTCTAAAAAAAATACCAAAAAGTAAAGACCATCAACATAATCAAGAATTTACATCAACTAATGAGCAAAACAGCCAGCTAATATTAACTGGCAGTATTAAACTCATGTATATTATTAACTCTAAATTTAAATCGACTAAATGCCCCAATCCAAAGACACAGACAGGCAAATTGGATAAAAAGCCAAAACCCATCAGTATGCTGCATCCAGACCCATCTCACATGCAAGGATACACAAAGACTCAAAACAAAGGGATGGAGAAAGATTTACCAACCAGGAGAGCAAAAATAAATAAACAAAAAGCAGGAGTTGCAATTTTTGCCTCTGATAAAATAGTACTTAAAGCAACAAAGATCAAAAGAAGCAAAGAAGGACATTATATAATGATAAAAGGATCAACGCAACAAGAAGAGCTAAAGATCCTAAATATATACGCACCCAATACATGAATACCCAGATATATAAGACTTATAAAAAGACACTTGGACTCCCACACAGTAATAGTGGGAGACTTCAACATCAATATTAGACAGATCAATGAGACAGAAAATTAACGATACCCAGGATTTGAACTCAGATCTGGAGCAAGTAAACTTAATTAACATTTATAGAACTCTCCACTTTAAATACACAAAATATACTCTTATCAGTACCACATCACACCTACTTACAGGTTTAAATGAAATATTGGTTGGCTGCTTGTTTGTTATTTTCTTCCCTCGTTTTTTTCATGTCTCCATTATTAAGCACAATTATAAGCATACCCATTTTTAGACTGCATTCTAGCTCGGGCAATAAAGCAACATCCCCGTCCTCTCTCCCTCTTCCTCTTTCTTCCTCTTATTTATTCTTTTACTTTTTTATTATTTTTTTCTTTCTCTTTTTTTTAAAAAAAAAAGCAAAAAAAAAAATAATAATAAAATCTTCATATACTCAACAATTTAGCAAAGGTCTACAGACATAAATGAGCATACTACAAAATTTTAAGAGACAAGGCTTACTGAAATATATAGGTTTACTACTACATAATCTATGTATCATAACCAGAATATTATGAGATTTTCAACATATTTTTACTCACCTTGATAATTCCTATTTGTTTAAAGAACTCTCCAACCTGATCTGTAGAGACACCTTCCCCAAGTCCTTGCACAAAGATTGTGTTGTTATCTGAATTATCAGATTCTGAATCTAAGAGAAAAAAAGTGGTGGTTAATTTTACATATTCCTTGCTTTTATGAAATTCTGTTCAGTAATCAAAAACAGTAATCTACTGTCCAATATTAAATTGTTTCTATAACCAAAAGGAAAGGACCAATATAATAATCATAAATAAACACACAAAGTATGCACAGTAATTATTTGGTAGATCAATTCTTACAACTAAACTTCAGGTAAGGTCGATCAAGTTCACACGATGTGAAATACCTATATACCAATTCAGGATGATCTTACAAATGTCACAATTCAGATTCAAACATAGGTCAAAGATCATCAAGAGATGGAATTAGTTTAAATTAACATTCATTTCTCTGGAGAACTCTAATTCTTTACGGTTAACCAACATTTTTTAAGATTCTCTAGTAGAAAATTCTCCAAATCTGATACTTTTGAACTTTCAAGCAAGCCACCAAGCAGAACTGCTGTTTCCATTCATTGCAATAAGCTTTGTATATACCAGAGGGCAGAGGCAACTTGTACACACACCTTACCTTACATGCATACTTTTGGATTAGTACAACAAAGTAAGAAAGATGTACAAAAACTCAGTCCATCAAGGGATAATTCAGAAATTGCCATCAGTATAGGATAGTTTGGCATCTTAACAATAACAAAAGTTCTGATTTCAAATTTTTGGCTCGAAAAGATTTTTGACCTCTCAAATATAACTTTCAACAGGCTCTACAGGTAAAGTTGTAGCCCTGAATATCATTCAAATGAAAAGCCACATAAAATCAGTGACCTCTACCCAAAAGACAATTCTCTCATGTATGAATTCAAGTTTCTTGAATTCACTAAGTCAGCCTACTTAAGCAGACTACCAATCCGAAGTAGGATTTTCTTTCTTAAACAATTTTTCCACTTCTAATTCCACAATCATATAAATTATTTCATTACATTTTATTTGCAATAATTTTAAATAGTTAATACTAAATAGCAGTAAAAATTCAAGTATTTCTTCATGGAAGAAAAAACATAAGAAAGCACACAATTTTTCCCCAGCAAACTTTCCTATAAATCCCCTTGAATTTTTCTGACATTTCTTTAAAAATAAAGTACCCCAAATTAAGTCTGTATCCTGTACTAAGCCCTCCAAACACACACTTTCCCTTCAAAAAATGGAAAACTAACATTTTCTTAATGGCAAAGTCACAAACCACCATAAACCTTACCAGCATCTGGTCTGGGTCCATAATCCCTGTGACCTAAGGAAAAAGAAAAAGAAAGCTATTTAAGGCAATTCATTTGAAATCATTAACAACAACAAAAAAAGTAATAAATCAAAGAATGAAAAGTCAACACTTCCAAAATCCTTGAAAGTCAACCATCACATATTTACAAAGTAAATATATAAATTACGTTTTATTTAAAGTCTAGAAATCAAGATGAACGTCAACATTTCCTTTAACTTGTCCTACAGAGCACCTGCCACTTTAGCATCATGCTAGTATCACTTTTGTTAAGCTCTGGTTGTGAAGGCTGATTGGACAACCCTAACAATTTTAAAACACCATGTCAGCTACCTTTATAAAAACGAACTGTCAAAATCCAGTGAAGGTCTCATTCATTGGTCACCACAGACTCTTTCATGCAAATTCACTGTGTAGAAACCCATTGGACTGTTTGAGATCAACTTTGGCTCTTTAATGTTTACTTTGTTATATATGTGTGTATATATATAATTGTTTTTAAAGCACACAACACACACCAGCCTCAACAGAATAAGAAAGGACTTTTGACTACATCTGCGGGATATTGGTGGCTTTTAGATTTATATAGCATTTCCACTGAAACATTTTGGGATACTCAGCACTTACCACCAAAATTTTTGAAGCCACCGCGGTCACCACCACTGCAGAGGAAAAATTGAAGAAATGATTTCTTCCTTAAGTCTCTAATGTGCTGAGCCCTGGGCTCAATCTACACTTAACTGTCACAAGTAGAGTGCTTAGGAAAACAGTAGCACCTCTAAGTTTTCAGTAAATTCCATTTCATAGAGTTCTAAATGTTGTTTCCATCCAAGTGTTTTCCCAAGGATCTATTTCCACAAGATGTCTTTCCAAGCTTATTACACAGCTAATACACTCTTATTTTTAAATCTTCCCAACCCCAAGCTAAAGGGATACTATTAAACCATAACTTAAAGCTGGAGGTACAGCATGAAGAATACTGAACTACAGCAAGTGTTTTTTCCAAAAGAGTACTTTCTAAATATGAGAAAAAGAAAAAAGAATAGAAGAATATAAAGCAAGGTTAAGATTTTGATGATAGAATGGGAGAGGTTAAAAACTTGAGTATTAGGTTCTGCTGTGACACAAAATAGTGGATTTTATGAGATGAATTTTAAAAGTGAGATACAAATATACATAAAAGACTGAATGAAAGTAGTTTTAAAATTTCAAATCATTCAAAACCCTGACAGAAGACTAAAAAGAGCGTCACTTAAAAATCATCATCCTTACCCACTATACTACATCTCTTCACATCAGCGCTACAGAGGTTCATGCTGCCATATGCTGTGTACACATCAGTAGTGCACATTGCATACAGAGGGCAACATAGTCCAATTATGCAGTTGCCCACAGGACAACTTTTTTTTTTGCAACAGAGTCTCACTCTGTCACCCAAGCTGGAGTACAGGGGCGGGGTCTCAGATCACTGCAAACTCCACCTCCCAGGTTCAAGTAATTCTCCTTCCTCAGCCTCCCAAGTAGCCAGGATTACAGGTATGTGTTTCCACACCCAGCTAATTTCTGTGTTTTTAGTAGAGATGAGGTTTCACCATGTTGGCCAAGTTGGTCTCAAGCTCCTGGCCTCAAATAATCCACCCATCTCAGCCTCCCAAAGTGCTGGGATTATAGCTGTGAGCCGCCACACCAGGACATCAAGTTTTATCTGGCAAATTACTACTGCCAGGTAAGTCAGTGGTCCTTGAGAGCATAGCTTTATGTAAGAAATCTAAGGTCTCTCTTACCAGAAAATCTTTAAATACCTATCCAATAAAAGCTTCTTTCTCTTAACTGAATTCTGTAATCCTTTAAGATTCATATGCTGATATGGCAATAAAAACACCCGAAGTTTTCAGATGGTGATATCAGATCTACTACTAATGATCTTATTCTACTATAACCCAAGAAACTAATCTAATATACTGAAGTCTTTCACTGGATATGGATCTCGTTTGGGGGCGGGAGAAGACCCTCAGCTTTAGTGATTACCCTACCCTACAGATGGCTTTTCTGAGCCACTGAGATAAAACACTCTATGAAAAACTTCTCCCTTCTTAATAAATCCATTCTATTATACTTTGAGGTAAAAATATTTCCACTTACAACTGTCTTAGGTACAGACACATGCATTTTAATTTATTGTTACTTTTTCCGTGATTTCCAGGATGCTTTTTTAAGCAGGAGACCAAAGCTATTTCAAGGCAATACAGACAATATGAAACTCAGGCCCTTCCTATAGTTTGCCACTGAATTTCTAAGACTCCCTACTTCACAACAGGTAGTACTGAAGCCTTCCCTACACTTCTAAATGAATGTATATTGATACTTAACTCTTTAAGAAAGGAAAGCCAACAGAGTTGAGATTAAACTGCTGAAAATATTATTAGAAACCAAGGTATCTCAGAGGTTTTGTAACTCTGAAGAGCAAGGCGAGAAAAGAACTAGTGAAAATAGTATGCCCACATTCTTATGCCAGCAGGCTGAAGTCCCAAGGATAAAGACGACTTTTAAAATAGGAAATTGGGGGTTGTTAGGTTCACAAATAAGTGCTGGAAGAGATGCCTCTTACTGTGTTGTCATCTTAAGGGAATACCAAATCTGGCCACAATGGATGGAAAACATGCAATTTCATACATCAGCTAGTTCCTGTGATTTCCATTCTGGCCAGCAATATAACTTTGAACAACAGAAAAAAAACATACTCCTAACAATAAAGGGATGTAAAACAAATGACACTTGAATAGGTTTATGATTTTCTATTCTTCCATGTAATACCTTTTAACGTCATCTTTACCGAGCATTTCCTTTTAAAATAAAGCAGCTGTGCTAGGTGCAGTGGCTCACGCCTGTAATCCCAACACTTTGGGAGGCGAAGGCAGGCAGATCAGGAGGTCAGGAATTCAAGACCAGCCTGGCCAACATAGTGAAACCCCGTCTCTGCTAAAAATACAAAAAAGTAGCCAGGCGTGGTGGCGCACACCTGTAATCCCAGCTACTTGGGAGGCTAAGGCAGGGGAATCGCTGGAACGTGGGAGCTGGAGGTTGCAGTGAGCCGAGACAGTGCCACTGCACTCCAGCCTGGATGACAGAGTAAGATTCCGTCTCAAAAAAAAAAAAAAAAAAAAAAAAAAAAAAGGTAGCTGAAGATTTCAACACATGGCCATAAATTTGGAATTAACATAGTACATTGGAGCCGGGCGCGGTGGCTCAAGCCTGTAATCCCAGCACTTTGGGAGGCTGAAGCGGGTGGATCACGAGGTCAAGAGATCGAGACCATCCTGGTCAACATGGTGAAACCCCGTCTCTACTAAAGGTGCAAAAAATTAGCTGGGCATGGTGGCGCGTGCCTGTAATCCCACCTACTCCGGAGGCTGAGGCAGGAGAATTGCCTGAACCCAGGGGGCGGAGGTTGCGGTGAGCCGAGATCGCGCCATTGCACTCTAGTCTGGGTAACAAGAGCGAAACTCCGTCTCAAAAAAAAAAAACAACAACAAAAAAAACATAGTACATTGGAAAAAGAACTAGTCTTCAAACCAAGACACTCAGGGTATTGTCTGAAATATCATTAATCAATCTTGAAAATTTGGGCATCTCAGTGATTCTTCATAGGCTTTAATCTCCTTAACAAAATAAGAGGTCTGTATCCTTACTATCCAAAACATGATGGAATACAAGCATAAACATAGCATGGAAGCTTCTTAGAAAAGCAGGATCTCAGGCCTCACCCTAGATCTACTGAATAAGAATCTGCATTTAATAAGACCCCCAAGTAATTCATATGCACATTTAAGTCTGAAATGTCTAGACATTTGGTTTAGGCATTTATCTAGATATTTATAATTTTATGCAAAGCTTTCTTTCAAGTTCAAACATTTCAATCATTTTCTCTATCCTTATTAGAAAATTATCCTTATTGAGGAAATTTAAATACAGAAAATAACCTTCAAGTACTGTTAGATATTAATAGAAAATGTGCCTGAGGTTAACAATCTTTCTTTAAAATCTGCATTAATTTTACAAGACCCTTTTCTACATACTAAGGCAAATTAAGACATGAAAGTACTTGAACATCTATGAGTCAAGATGTTGACACAACAAATTTGCTTTAATTCCCAGAAAAAGCAGAAAACATGTACACATAAAGTATTCCTGAAGTAGCAGAGATATTTAACAGAGACATAATATAAGCATACTCAACTTTATTGGCAGAGTACCCCCTGCATAAGAAAACTAGCTGCTTTTTTTAGTTTTTTTGAGATGGTGTCTTGCTATTTGCCCAATCTGGTGGCAAACTCCTGAGCACCAGTGATCCTCCCACCTCAGCCTCCTAAGTAGCTGAGTCTACAGGTACATGCCACAGCCCCCAGCTAGGTACATATTCTTTTTTCTTTCTTTCTTTCTTTTTTTTTTTGGAGACAGAGTTTCCTTCTCTTTGCCCAGGCTGGAGTGCAACGGTGTGACCTTGGCTCACTGCAACCTCCAACTCCCAGGTTCAAGAGATTCTCTCACTTCAGCCTCCAGAGTAGCTGGGCTTACAGGTGCCCACCACCATGCCCAGCTAATTTTTGTATGTTTAGTAGAGATGGGGTTCACCATGTTGACCAGACTGGTCTCGAACTCCTGACCTCAGGTAATTCACCTGCCTCAGCCTCTCAAAGTGCTGGGATTATAGGCGAGAGCCACTGCACTTGCCCAGTTGCATATTCTTGACCCAAATATAGAGACATGCTCCCAAGTTCAAAACCACAATGAGCAGCCTACATGAGGGCATATTCTGAGGGTTCTTTCACTGTTACAGCAGTACATATTTAAAAGAGACAACAGATTCCATTTCAGATGCTTCTCAAGAGAGAAAAAGTTCTTTGACAGAATCTCTACTCCCAATCTTTCAATAAAAAAAAATCTAAATATGTCTATTTATGGATTAAAACTGCTAAGAAGTAAAAGGACAATGCAGGAATCTCTATTCTTAGAAAATTTTACTAACTAGAGAGAAAAGGGCTTAGCTAAAAATGGAGAAAGATTAGCTTAAAAACCCTGTGCTTGAGTTTTCATACTGAATCCAGAATACAATTTTTTGAGTGTGAAGAAAAGACCAACATTAATTCCACATTTAAGTGACTCAATGGATTTAAATATTATTCTCAATAACAGCTGTATTTACATTTTATTTCCTCCTATGTCTTATATGCGTGGTAAAAAAGCTTTCTGGATTCAGCATTTATGAACATCTTAGGAAGCCAAGAATCTGTCATTCTAGAGCTACACTGTCCAACGGTATCCACTACCTACATGTGGCCTGTTGAGCACTGGAAATGCAGCTAGTCTAAATTAAGACATGCTCTAAATGCAAAATGCAAAATGGATTTCTAAATTTTAGTATGAATAAAGGAATGCACACTCCTTTTTTTTTTTTTTTTTTTTTTGAGACAGTGTCTCGCTGTCACCAGGTTGGAGTGCAGTAGAGCAATCTCGGCTCACTGCAACATCCGCCTCCTTGGTTCAACCAATTCTCTTGCCTCAGCCTCCAAAGTAGCTGGGAATACAAGCATGTACCACCACGCCCAGCTAATTTTTATATTCTTTAGTAGAGACAGGGTTTCATAATGTTGGCCAGGATGGTCTCAATCTCTTGACCTCGTGATCTGCCTGCCTCGGCCTCCCAAAGTGCTGGGATTACAGACCCCAGCACCCCCCACCGCCTTTTTTTTTTTTACATTTGAAGCGGTATGGAACAGGGTTTGGAAACGGAATCTGACAGTCTCACTACTGCCCAGACTGGAGTGCAGTGGTTATTCACAGGCACAATCAGCTCACTGCAGCCTTGAACTCCTGGACTCAAGCAATCCTCTTGCCTCAGCTTCCCAAATAGCTGGGACTACAGGTGGATGTCACAGTGCCCAGCTAATTTTTTAATTTTTAAGAAATGAAGTCTTACTATGTTACTTCATCTAGTCTCAAAACTCCTGGCCTCAAGCAATCCTCTTGCCTCAGACTCAAAAGTAGCTAGGATTACAGGCACAGGCCATCATGACCAACAAAAAAAACTTTTTATACTGATTGTATGATTAAATATTTTGGATATATTGGGTTAAGTAAAATGTATTTTCTCATTTGTGTTTTCTTTTTAATGTGGCTTTAGAAAATTTACTATACTGGTCACATTTGTGACCTACGTTATATTTCTACTGAGCAATGCTATGCTAGACTGTCACCAGAATGTATGCATATTTTTTATTTTTTAGACCCATGTGCCCCCATATACATGCGTATTTCTATGGGAGCTAATTGAACACTCTTTTAAGAGGGAGAAGATCCTCAAAAATCTTGATAATTTTAGGCTTGACCCGTTAAAGCCTGAAACAGCTACTAAATTTGATGGCATGCTGATAATGAAAATCTATTATTTATTAGATTCTGGCAATTTTACAAGGCATTAATCACAATGCTGAAACTAAAAATCACTGGGAGAATTTGTGTACCAAGCTTCCAGTCCACTAAGCTGTCCATGTCAATTTTAGATGACAGAAAGAAACTGTGTTTTTTGCTACCATTGCTTTTTCAAAAAGATTAAGTTTCTTGTAGTCCCTATAATCTTCACTTATCTCTCTTTCACACTTGGAAAGCTGATGGCTTCTTTTTGATCTGAATTCTTCCTCTAGCCAGGCAATCACACAATCTGTAAGTCTAAGAATGTCCCATCCTTTACCTCACATCCTCATCCACAAATTATGCCCCTTCTTCTTCTTCTTTTTTTTTTTTTGAGATGGAGTTTCACTCTTGTTGCTCATGCTGCAATACAATGTGCTATACTGACTCACAGCAACCTCCACCTCCCGGGTTGAAGTGATTCTCCTTCCTCAGCCTCCAGAGAGGCTGGGATTACAGGCACCTGCCACCACGCCTGGCTAAGTTTTTCTATTTTTAGTAGAGACAGTTTCACCATATTCGTCAGGATGGTCTCAAACTCCTGACCTCAGGTGATCCACCCACCTCGGCCTCCCAAAGTGCTGGGATTACAGATGTGAGCCACCATACCCGGCCTATGCCCCATTCTTCTTTTAATATAAATCCAACTAATACCAGATATTCTTCAAACAGCCCCCAAAAGAATGGCTATTTTTAAGACGACTGAAAACACAAATGGGAGTGTTGATGAAGACTGATGAAAAATGTTTAAGTATTTTGGTACTTAAATGCAAAACTGTGTGGGGAAAAAAAAATCTTAAAACAGGTTATTTATATTCAAATTCAAAACACTTTATCCCAATAAATAAGCTAAAAAGCACATCTTAAACAAGATGTTATGACATGTAAAAATTTTATGAACTTCAGCTGGGTGCGGTGACTCATGCCTGTAATCCTAGCACTTAGGGAGGCCTAGGCAGACAGATCACGAGGTCAGGAGACTGAGACCATCCTAACACCGTGAAACCCCGTCTCTACTTTAAAAAAAAAAAAAAATTAGCCAGGCATGGTGGCATGTGCCCATAAGTCCCAGCTACTTGGGAGGCTGAGGCAGGAGAATCACTTGAACCTGGGAGGCAGAGGTTGCAGTGAGCCAAGATCCCCCACCGCACTCCAGCCTGGGCGACAGTGAGACTCTGTCTCAAAAAAAAAAAAAAAAAAAAAAAAAAATTATATGAACTTCAAATTTCAGTATCCATAAATGAAGCTTTAGTGGAACACAACTCTGTTTGTTCATTTACATATTATTTATGGCTGCTCTTGTGTTCCATGGGCAGAGATGAATAGTTACAAGAGAAACCATATGGTCTAACAAAAACCAGAACATTTACTATCTGGCCTTTCACATAGTTTGCCAACTCAATATATTGAGTAATTGGCATCCACATGGATTTCTAAAAAAGGCCTTTCATGAACATCTCAATAAATGATAGAGTCTAAGGCAAAACTGCAGATCCCTTCCTCACTCAATCTTTCCCCCACTGAAATCAAATCAGTATCATTTTAACCAACTACATATTGGACTTCTGCGTATGATTTTGTATGAAGGAGTATTAAAAGAAAATAAAAAACTTATTTTATAAATCCTATCTGGGGCACAAATTGCACAAAATAAGTTTATAAAAGTACCAAGAGTTTTTAAAAGTACTTAATTGGACTCCAGAGTTGGTTAAGGTACTCCTTCCCTCCTTTGTCAGGAGGATCATTCGAAGTCCTTTCAACCTTCTAGTTACAAGATGAGTCACATATGAAAATATATTTATAATGACTTCCCTACCCATTCCCTATCTTCCTCCATTCTTAGATATAGTGATAGTTTAATAGATAATCAATTAGGATGTAACTTCCTTATGAAGAAAACTAAAGCTATGATGCACTATAAAACATACAGCATTTCAAGGCAGCCAATTATCCAAAACATTATTAACTGGAAAATTAAAAATACCTGTTGGTTATCTTGTTTGGGATAGGAGGGAGGCTATTACTAGGTACAGTAAGCACCAAGTCACTTTACATTGTCCATTTATATCCACATGATGGCAGACTGCTCTCTTTGACAATGAAGAGGCATAGAATCTATCTGTTTTACTTTGGTAAACTGACTTTGGTTATCAATCAAGATACTTAATGTCCAAGTCTTATAAAAATTTTCAAACACGTCTAGAATTTAGTTTCTCCATAAAATCAAAGCACTGCACACTAAAAATAGAGAAATACAAGTCATTGAAATCAAATCTTGGCTCACTTGAAGAAATAACAGTCTGTGGGCAACTGGTTGTTTCTTAGGTCACTTGAGGGGACACATAGTCCCTAAGGAGCAAAAGAATGAACTGGTGCTGATATGTAACTGGTAATTATCAGTTAACAGGCCACTGACCCTTTCAATTCCCAAGGGATGTAAATTACCTTTTAGCCTATATACGTACATACAAATATGCAACCTACAAACTTCTGAGGACAGATGTCAACTACTTTCTCATTTTTGTTTTGAGGGTCAAAGTAGTAAACTTACAGATATATCTAAAAGCAATTTAAAACTAGCTTCATAACATATGCTATAAGTAAATAAATACCAAAACCTGGTAACACTAGCAAGGTGAAAAGAAAAGCTAAATTAAAAAGGCGTTACTTTACACAACTCAGTCTAGACAAAACACATATTGCTATATGATGTTACACTAATTATTCCAATAATTATTTACTTACAAAGAGAGACAAAACAGTTTCATTACATTAAATCTTTCTCTTATTTGCCATCCCCACCTTTCTACTCCATTACTGCCCCCTAATACTTTTCCTTCCCAAGGAGATTTGAAATTAAGAAATAGCCTCTCTGCCCTTCAATCTAGAATTAACTTACCTTTTATTTGCATATACAAACATTGGATTTCCCAGAGTCATTTAGATTCTAGCTCTGGCAGGAAAGTCAAGTGGTTTAACCACAACCACAGTTGTTTCTCTACTGGTGTTTAACATGCACCACATAAACTAACTGCTAACACAGCCTATTCTAAGGTCATTTATGTAAGGTCATTTAAGACTGAAAATACATCTTTAATTTCTGCCCTTTTCTCCAACACATAATCCCTTTTTTAAGTCTCTTAACTAAATTAGATGCTGGAATGGATCCAGCCAAATAACATCGAAAGAAAAAAAAAAAAAAGAGACGTAGGTATCTTTAACTACGTGCTTACCTTGGCCCTGTCATAGGACCTCTTCCATCCTTGTCATATCCCCCACGCCCTCTACCTCCTCCCTGTGACCCGCCATATCCTCTATTATCTTCTCCATACCTACTCACATCACGACGGTCATCTACAAGAAAGAAAATATTACACACAAATAACAACTGCCATTTATAAGGCTTCAAACAACAATCTTAAGTGGCTCTTTAGGCCACACATATCCTTATAAAAAATGGCACATGCATACAGAACTCAAATGAAAGTCACGGTAAAATCATCCGGAATTAAATGCTTTTGAGAACTGTATCCGTGTCAAATTCCATTCTGCTAAAGTGGCACAGCGAAATCGTAATGTGGAACAGTATGAATTAAAACACAACCTTAGCTACAAAAATCTTAATAACTTAGATGAAAAGCACAACCCCAATCTTAAAAGTTAACTCTTTCTTCATTTCAGAAACACTTAAATGCAACTCAAGCATGGATGAGGAATAACTGAATCTTCAAACTGAGAGAAGATATTTAGTGAATCTGCTTCGACTTTTACTCATTGACTTACTCATTCAACTGCTGCTACCAGCAGTATTGTCAAATGATGAGAGTTCACTGGGACAGCAAAGGAAATTCATATAATCAGCCATCAAAAACTCATGACCATTGGGGGGTCTCCAAGTTCAGAAGTAGAAATCTGATAAACTAGTTCTGATCACCATGAGAGGGAACCTATGTTCAAAGTCATCCTAAATTTTTACAAACAGCTGAAATCCTATGTGGTTCTTTTAATTAGAAATTCATACAAATAATTCTGTGAGGGGGGAAAAATAATAATAATAGAGGTAAGTAAATCTTACCTTGTGTGTGGTGGCTGTAATTTTCCCTTTGTGAATGATAGGACTGCTGGTTTTGATTATAGGAATCATGCTGCTGATCGTAATTTGACTGCTCATCATATGAGCCTTGATGTTGATCAAAGCCTGACTGCTGGTCATATGAATCTTGTTGACCATAGTCTGACTGGTCATAGGAAGGTGCCCTTCCACCTTGGCTAAATAGAAATGGAGAACTTGAGAGACTTCATAGGAAGATTACATTTGCTGTAGCAAGTTGACTGAAACTGGTCTAAGAGTCCTGCCAGTTAGACATTAACCATATTTATGACTACCTTCTCATGGTAATTAGTTATCTGCAATCTCCTGAAATCCCCTTCAAAAGACAATCCTGCCAACACTGAAGGGGTGCCATATTATGAAAAGAAAATATGCATCTTTGAAAACTGTAGGAAAGGAAAAAATTACTATGGATTTTCACTATCTCCTTGAATTAAAAGAAAAAAGTAAAAGATGCTACAAAGTACAGTAATATGTCTGACTCTTTAATAAACATGCCACAAGAGCTGAGTCCTTTTAACAGTTACATTGAAAGGCTCTATATTACTTAATTTTTAACAAGTGTCATCTCTTAAAATATTTTTAGATCTCTTCTCTTACAATTATCTTTAGAGCCTATAGTACAGTCTTCTAAACCTCTTCAGTAATAGTAAATTTTAGAAAACATTAAAGGATCTTGCTTTGTAATGCCATTTTTTTAAATCTGTAAAGTCTATTAGGTAATGAGACTGCTTATTCTAGCAATTCAAAAGAAAAATTCGGAGCAATATGACTTCATTAATTAGACGTTCTCAGGGTGGGAATGTTAAAAGGGAACACTTAAATGGATTTGAGTTCCAATAGGTTTACTTCTTTAAAACAATGGGCTGGGGGGTGCGGGTTTGGGGACAAAAAAGATCTCATAACTTAATAGCTATGTTTTATTCTTCATTAGAGGATCAGAACAATCTAATAAAAGGTTAGCATGTTCCCGAACTCCCTATCGAGAGCACAACAGAACCACAGTCCAAACCCTAGTACTTTAAAATGATTGTCAAATCAAACCTAACATTTCTTTTCAGACTACATTTATAGGTCATGCTCCCAAAAATACGTAATTTATAAAAGGATTCTCCTTAAATTTAAAACCAACAAGGCTTGAAGAGTTATTTCTCTTAATGTAGTATGCCTTCTAAATATTATTCCCTACATTTGTACTCTACTTTCTACTTTTCAGAACACTCATATCTGTAAGCCTGGTAATTTGACCTCACAAATCTTTCCTCAATGTTTTACTTAGAACAAATGTCTTCACTGTAGAGAGAAAACATGAGACCTCAGTTTTTAGCCATGTCACTTGACAGATGAAATAATTGCTTTACCTCTGTAAAACGGGAATAATTACTGACACTATTTCATAGTATCTGAAGATCAATTACATTAGAGAATGCAAAAGCATTTCAGAAAATGTAAAGCACAATTTTTAAAAACTGACTTGCTTTTATTAAGTAAAGAGCCTAAAATTAAGTACAGGCTCTTCAAATCTGAAATGTAAAAAAAACTTTATAGGCCGGGCGCGGTGGCTCAAGCCTGTAATCCCAGCACTTTGGGAGGCCGAGGCGGGTGGATCACGAGGTCGAGAGGTCGAGAGATCGAGACCATCCTGGTCAACATGGTGAAACCCCGTCTCTACTAAAAATACAAAAAATTAGCTGGGCATGGTGGCACGTGCCTGTAATCCCAGCTACTCAGGAGGCTGAGGCAGGAGAATTGCCTGAACCCAGGAGGCGGAGGTTGCGGTGAGCCGAGATCGCGCCATTGCACTCCAGCCTGGGTAACAAGAGCGAAACTCCGCCAAAAAAAAAACAAAAAACAAAAACAAAAAACAAACAAAAAAAAACAAAAAGAAAAAGAAAAAGAAAAAAACATATATATATTAAAAAAAAAAAAAAAAACTTTATAAAACCTGAAATTTATCGATAAATATTTACCTACATATATCAACAAATAAAACACATTTTTAGGGTATCTGATATATTGTGAAAGTTCTGACCCTTTTAAAAAATATTTTTGTCCCTGAAAACGTAATATATTCAAATGGTTCAAAAATAAAATAGAAATTAAAAAGTAGATATCGAGAAGTCTCATACTAAAGGCAGGTTTTTATTTAACCTCAGGTATAAAGCAGAAGTTCAAAATTTTCTAACATTTTTAAGTACATCAATTTACAGCTAAACAATGATTTTACAAATACATCACAAGAATCAAATGGCAATGCTATTTCCATATTCTCCTTAATACACAGTTCTGAAATCCATACTCCATTAAAACTTTTCTTTAAAAAAAAAAAGCTTCAAGTTAAGATTTTGTTGGCTAAATCTCTTTAATATTCAGTGTTATTTCCACTACCCAAAACAATGTCAATACTTTACTGTTTCCTTACCTTCCTGATGATTCCATGTTTTGCTGCTGTCCCTGGTTATTATATGGCTGCTGGCCATATGAGCTCTGCTTTTGATTCTCATAACCACCATAGGATTGTGAATAACCTGAAGATTAGATGAGTTATCATTTAGTGAAGGCTCTGATTTTTCAATCTATGAAACAACAAATTTAACAAATTAGTCCAACCTGACTGACTTTGTCCATAACCGGAGTAACTGCTGTAGTTCTGTCCATAAGAGGGGTCAGTCGCTTGCCCATAGCCAGAATAGCTCTGAAATTTAGGTAAATACTCAAGTTTCATCACCTACTTAAGATAAAAATAACTACTTATGAAGAATACAATTTATATTTCAACCTACTTGTGCTGTTTGTCCATAGCCTTGGCTGCCTTGATTTCCATAGGAAGAATAACTGCAAAAGAAAAATGTAGTACTTGAAAGAAATGTGTTAAAATTTAAAAGTCTAAATGAAGACCTTGCCTTCATTTTCAACTTTCAACTGAAATACAAGCTTCTTTGCAGAGAATCATCAATCTGCCTGTCTCTAGAGTAAAAATTGAAAGGTGATGAGGAAAGACTGTTAAAGAAATAAAGTTGGCCGGGCGCGGTGGCTCAAGCCTGTAATCCCAGCACTTTGGGAGGCCGAGGCGGGTGGATCACGAGGTCGAGAGATCAAGACCATCCTGGTCAACATGGTGAAACCCCATCTCTACTAAAAATACAAAAAATTAGCTGGGCATGGTGGCACGTGCCTGTAATCTCAGCTACTCAGGAGGCTGAGGCAGGAGAATTGCCTAAACTCAGGAGGCAGAGGTTGCGGTGAGCTGAGATCGCGCCATTGTACTCCAGCCTGGGTAACAAGAGCGAAACTCCGTCTCAAAAAAAAAAAAAGAAATAAAGTCACTCCCAGACCTCCTGAATGTCAAACAAATACCCCAAGTTTTGTTTTGACAATCTCCTACAAATAAAGGAAACTTCATCAGAGCTAGAAAATTCCAAGAGAATTATGCTTGGGTGGGGTGGGGGTTGGGGGGAATAAAAACTATATAGCAAGACCCATAATAAATACATGAAACACAAAAATGTTGACTTGACCAAAATGAACACCTTACTCAGTTGTATCTTGACAGATGAATTTTTTCCTACCATTTGCCTTAGTTAAATGTCTTTAACTTCCTACAAGATGCACAGGGTGTCCCTAGAAGTCCAGTTTAAATGCCTCAGTAATCAGAGACATGTGTATCTCCAGAGTACAATCACAGAATGAAATTACACTGTATCTCCTCAGTGCTATAGCAGGGCCTAGCACATAGCTCAATAAATATTTGTTGACTGACTAAATATGGGATTTGAATTTTAATTTAATAGTACATAAGCTCTAACAAGTCAGAAACAAACTTTATGAATCTATACTCTGGCTTTCTAATATCCAAGGAAACTAAAACATTTGCAATAAAAAACTTTTTATTATTTTAAAGCTATCAAATGCTAACAAGATTCTTCAACTTTTCAAAACGTATTTCATCAAATAAACATTCTGCTAGATGCCTACTAGGAAGTTAGCACTATCTTATGATATTTAAAAAGTCAAATCAGTTTTGCTTTCAGGAAGCTTAAAATCTGATAAGATTTCTGGGATGCTATTCTGAATATCTCACACTGAGCTGTAAAACATTTATCATACAAGTAGAAGGATGTATTTCTGGCAAGAGAAGCCTACTGCATATATACATTCACATAAAAATAGAATTTTCTTTTTATTGTGAGCATGGTAGGGACACTAAAAAATGCTAAATATTTCTTTCATGGTGCTTCAAAAAAATGTGCTCTGAAAAAAACATATTAGCATATTATATACTATCATAAAATGCTTCTTCTAAAAAACAAGAATTCAATTGCTTTTTTTTTTTTCTTTTTTTTTTCTTTTGAGACAGGGTCTCGCTCTGTCACCCAGGCTGGAATGTAGTGGCAAGATCATAATTCACTGTAACAACCTTGAACTCTCTTCAAGTGATCCTCCCGCCTCAGCCTCCCAAGTAGCTAGGACTCTACAGATACACACCACCATGTCTGGATAATTTTTTAAAAAATTTTTGTAGAGACAAGGACTGGCTACACAGTCCAAAATGGTTTCTAACTCCTGGCCTCAGGCAGTCCTCCCATCGTGGCCTCCCAAAGTGCTGGGAGGCATGAGCCACAGTACCTGGCAATAAATTCCTTTAATAATTGTTTTTTCTAAGAGATTTCCTAAAGAAAACATAAACTTTAGAGTATCAAGGAGACTTGTTTTAATCTCTAGGACTTACATTCATTGATGCAAACAGACTTAAGGAAGAAGCCCAGTGCAGTGGCACATGGCTGTAGTGGAGAGTACAGCTATGTGGGAGACTGAGGCAGAAGATTGCTCAAGGCTATAGTACACTATGATTTGCCTATGAATAGCCACTGCACTCCAACCTGGGTACCCAGCAAGACTCTGTCTCAAAACATAAAGAATGAAAAAAAAAAAAAGGAATAAATGTTTTACAGCACCTATTTATACAAGCTGACTCTCTTTATTCTGTGACAAGCTAATATTTAACTAACTATAACATCCAGATATCAAGTCTCAAGAGAAGAAGTTTGACAAAATTCATCTCAGTTCTACCCTTTCATATTATTAAAATATATGTATACTTTACCTTTGCGGCTCACCCCCAGACTGACTGTAACTTCCAGAATCTAGAACACATAAAAAAAATTTTAAATCTTATTTAAAATTACACTTCCTTCAAAGGCTGACTTTAGCTTATATAGAAGAAATATGGTAAGAAAATGTAAAAAACTGCAGAAAGAAAAACTCTTATTAAATACTCTGAAAGGAGAAATCTGTTCAAATAGTATTCATTTTTTTACAGTAACTACATATTAGGAAACTACTATTCTACATGTGTGCTGAGGATCACAAGCACCCAGTGGACAAATGTAAATCAGTGAAAATCCATTCTTCAAACAGCCTCAAAAGCTTAAGCAGTATTATCATTATATACAAAAAGACATGTTAAACTAATCAGGTCCAAAAGGGGGAAAGACATACACTGTGACATCCCAGGATTACGTCTACTTGTATATCCAAGATATACACCATTCCACTGTATTGGACTGCTGTGGCTGTCAGCACCAACAAAAAGATTTCCAAAGACTTGCTAAAAAAAAAAAAAAGCAGCTAAGTTAGTTGTTCTATTCTGCTTTTACCAAGCTATGAGGGACTCAGCCAACTGGCATATCAAGTCAGCAATATCTACTTCTAGCTTCAATTTAGCAATGAAAAAAAAACTACCAAGGGACCGGGTACGGTGGCTCACACATGTAATCCCAGCACTATGGGAGGCTGAGGCAGGCGGATGGCTTGAGACCAGCCTGGTCAACACGGTGAAACCTAATCTCTACAAAAAATACGAAAATTAGCTGGGCATGGTAGCGTGTGCCTATAGTCCCAGCTACTCGAGAGGCTGAGGTGGATCACCTGATCCAGGGGCAGTCAAGGTTGCAGGTGAGCTGTGATTGTGCCACTGCACTCCAGCCTGGACGACTGAATGAGATTGTCTCAAAAAAGAGGGGAAAAAAAAAAAGGTGGGGGGTGGGGGTGGGAACGTGTAAAAAAAAAAAAAGAATTTGAGCTATGAGCTTTTCTCAATCCTTCAAAATGTCAATCATATCAAAAATTACTGAAGAGGTTCTATTTATCTATCCTTTAGGCTTTACTCAGAGTCAAATGAATGACCTAAGTATGTGGCGCATAAGAGCAATTTTATATAAAACACTTTCACAACTGCAAAAAATGGCTCTAATTCACAAACTGCTGGCCATTAGGCCCAACCTCACCCAATTTGAAACAAAAATAACTGTTGTCAAATCGTTCTAAAACCCATCAAAAACGTAAAGAAATTAGTAACCTTCTTTTTCTTTCTTTTAAGAGATGAGACTTTCCTGTCACCCATGCTGGATTGCAACAGTGCCATCACAGCTTATTCCTGGACTTGAGCCATTCTCCTGCCTCAATGTCCTGCATACCCAGGGCTACAGGTGTGCAGCACCACACCCAGCTATTTTTAATTTTTAGAGACAGGGTCTCAGTAACTTTCTCTTTTTAAAATTTAATTATACAAAAAAAAAAAAAAAGAGAAAACAAAAAAAGAAAAAAAAGAAAAAATTTAATTATACAATATGTCCCTGTAACAAACTTTTTCATCCAATTTATATAAAGCTACAATATGAAAATATTGCCACTGAATATAAGTGGGTGATATCAAATTTGCTATTTTCTGCAGTAAAGATCTCCAATCAGACTGAACAAGATTTTTTTTTAATGCTTAATTTTAAGATGGTAAATGAAAGACAGGTGTAGTGGCTCATCCCTGAAATCCCAGCATTTTGGGAGGCCAAGGCAGGAGTACTGCTTGAGCCCAGGAGGTCAAGGCTGCAGTTCTGTCATAAATGTATCACTGCGCTCCAGCTTTAGCAACAGAGCGAGACCCTGTCTCGGAAAAAAAATAATATTAAATGAAATGTTGGCACAAACTACTACTTCTATGAATATTGAAGGCATAAAACTAGCTGAAATGAAAAAGAAAAAATTACACATCACTGCCAGGCCCATCATAATAAAGATAGCTAGAGAGTAGCTAACAACCAAGTAAGAAAAACAGGAAAAGAATATACAATCTAATTAGACCTCAGATGTCTCTATGAAATGACACGAGATCAGATTCTCCCAAATCAAAGGATGAAAACAGTTATGAGGGGTAAACAATGAGTAAAAGAAGATAGTTGGGAATGCATGAAGCTTTAGGTTAAACTATATCCTGAAGCATGGATGTAGGTTCTCCCAGTGACAAAGTATATGATCATAACATATTTTCTTTAGGTTCAGGCAAAATTTTAGTAGGATATAGCACATAAGTCCTGTAACCCTATCTCAAACCTAACAGTAAGGCCCTTAATTTTAACCTAATCATTTCGGCCCTCTGAACTTATAAATCTAACTTCTTTAGTTAGCTAGCTTAAAAATTCCAAGATGACACAAAAATGAGCATATTAACTAGTCAATCTGGCCCTTTGTATAAACCTTGAGTGATAAAGTGCAGATGCTTTATATTCATCAGAGAAAACCAGTTTATAAATTAAGGCATCCCAAACAACTGTTCATTGTGATTATTTGACACTTGTGCTTTTCGTCTGGACCTACTAATCACTTAGAAGTGCTTTTGGGCCGGGCGCGGTGGCTCACGCCTGTAATCCCAGCACTTTGGGAGGCCGCAGTGGGTGGATCACAAGGTCAAAAGATTGAGACCATCCTGGCCAACATGGTGAAACCCCACCTCTCCTAAAAAATAAAAAAAAAATTAGCCGGGCATGGTGGCACACACCTGTGGTCCCAGCTACTCAGGAGGCTGAGGCAAAAAAAATCGCTTGAACCCAGGAGGCAGAGGTTGCAGTGAGCCTAGATTGCACCACTGCACTCCAGCCTGGCGACAGAGCAAGACTCTGTATATTTAAATTAAAAAAAAAAAAGTGCTTTTTAATTTCAAAGTGTATAGTTTTGATTCTCTTCTCTTTTGTTTTTTCCTAATATTCCACTGCAGCCAGAAAAGTTATTTTATTATTCTTAGCATTTGTTTGGATTTGCTGTTTTGCTTCTCCCTCTTGGCACATGCCCCTTGCGTGCCTGAAAAGAATTAACTATTTTCTAAATTTCAAGTGAATTCTATCGGTCTATAATATTATGCTTAGTTGTATCACTCATATTTTACTAATGTTTGGTCTAGTCTGTTTGGTCATATTCTTACTGTTTGCCTAATCTATTACACAAGGTTTTTGTGTTTTTTTTTAACTTCCCATATAGCCTTGTCAAGTTCTTATAATTGTCATTTTTGTTTTATAAATACATATATACTTTTTTTTATTTTTTTGAGACAGAGTCTCACTCTATTGTCCAGGATGGAGTGCAATGGTGTGATTTTGGCTCACTGCAACCTACGTTTCCCAGTTTCAAACAACTCTCTTACCTCAGTGCCTCCTGAGTAGCTGGGATTACAGGTGCCCACCACCTTGCCTGGCTAGTTTTTGTACTTTCACCATGTTGGCCAGGCTGGTCTCGTACTCCTGACCTCAGGTGATCTGCCCACCTCGGCCTCCCAAAGTGCTGGGATTACAGGCATAAGCCACCATGCTCAGCTTGTTTTCTATATTTTGAGGCTATTATTAGGCGCCTAAAAGTATAGGCCTATCTTCCTGATGAATTTCCTTTCAACATTATATCCGAACTTTATTTTGGCTAGTAACTTAAAAAAAAATTACCTTTTGGTTGGTGTTTGCGAATTGCTTGAGCTCAAGAGTTCAAGGCCAGCCTGAGCAACACAGAAAGGCCCTATCTCTACAAAAAAAAATTAAATAATTAGCTGAGCAAGGCACTGTGCACCTGTTGTCAGTCCCAGGTACTCTTAAAAAAAAAAAAAAGAAAACTCAAGGTCAATGGTTACTTTCTCTCTAAACTCTAAGGACCATTTCATTATTTTCCAGCTTCTTAAAGTATTTAATTAGTTTGTTATCAATCATACCACTGCTGCCTATTTTCCCTAGTAGGTTATTGGTATTTTATAACCTGCATTTTCACATCAACATCAATGTATCTACGTATGAATTCACTTTTTTGTTTCATGTTTAAATCTAGTGCTCAATTCAAAATGTACATCTCTTTTGGAAATTCTTAACTACTGATTCTTCCTCCATTTTCTCCTCAATCTCTTATTAGATGTATGACAGGAGTTCTTAACCTATTTCCTAATCTTTTTTTTTTGAGACAGGGTCTTACTCTGTCACCAAGGCTGGAGTGCTGTGGCTCGATCACAGTTCACTGCATCCTTGACCTCCTGGGCTCAAGCAATCCTCCCACCTCAATCTCCCAAGCAGCTGGGATTACACACACACCCCACCACTCCCAGCTGATTTTTTTGATTATAGGCATGAGACACCATGCCCAAATCTTTCATTTTCATATCTTATCCCCCTGAATTGAATTCTGGAAGGTCACATCTATCTTCCACATCTGAAAGATAAATCACATCCATTCTATCTGTAATTCTTTCTTCTGCTAAGTCTGCTATCCAACATATTCACTTTTTCTAATTCTAAACATTTTGATTATTTTTCAAATCTATGTGGTTTGTTTTATTAACATCTTGATCTTTTTTTTTTTTTTTTTTTGAGACAGTCTTGCTCTGTCGCCAAGGCTGGAGTGCAGTGGCATGATCTCAGCTCACTGCAAGCTCTGCCTCCCAGGGTCAAGGGATTCTTGTGCCTCAGCCTTCCAAGTAGCTGGGATTACAGGTGCCCATCACCTTGCTTCCCTAATTTACAGTAGAGACAGGGTTTTGCCATGTTGGCCAGGCTGGTCTCTAATTCCTGACCTCAGGTGATCCCCCAACCTTGGCCTCCCAAAGTGCTGAGATTACAGGTGTGAGCCACCATGCCCAGTCAGCCCAGTCAACACCTTGATCTTAAGGTTGATTCCTTTGGTCTTTTTTTTTTTTTTTTTAAACAATTTTAAACAGAAAAATATTTTCTCAGATAATCTGTTAGAGGCTTTAATCCAGTTTGTCAGTGACTCTCATTTAGGTGAAATGTTTCCTAAAGCTCTGATTTTTTTTTTTACTGTGAACATATCTTCTGCAAGGCTTGCTTTATCTGAGATTCCTTGTGATCTAAACTGTGAAATTTCCTCCAGACAGGATTTTTCACGTTTTTGACAGGTACACCAAGGGTATTACCAGCCCAGAAACCATTTTTACGTTAATTTGTCTTAAGGTTCCTTGGAGCTTAAATGCCCATGCTACCCTGTCATCTCTTATGTTGGTACTAAGGGTTTTTCCAGTTCATTCCTTCACAGAACCTACAGTCCTTGAACTCCATAACACGTAAGTCTAGAATTTATGTTAAGAGTCTCAGTTCTCTTTACCTGGCATTAATGGTCCTTATGTTTCATCTCCAATCCTGACGTAGTTACTTCAGCAATAAAACCCAGGTCTCTAAGAAGTGTACACCTTCATCTCCAGGGTATCTGGCAAGTTAGCTCTTTGCCTACCATGCCGGCTTCTACTTCATTTTTGGCAGTGGGGGTTTGCCCTTAGTTTTTGCCATTTTTTTTTGAATCTTTGTAGATAGATTTTCAAGTTAATCGTGGTCTGCCATACTGCCAGAATGAGCAGTTATCTTGACTTCGTAATTTTTATGTGTGTAACTGTTATTATATTTGTAATATGAATTTGTAAGGTGTTAGATTAAGTCACATTTGTAAACAGTATTTGAATGTCTGACTTGTAATTTCTACAGTTTTGATTATTATTTAAGTGCTTATGTTTTATTAGGTTTTTTGGAGTGGTTGAGTCAATTGGATATATTAAATTTACAAGTGTAGTCTGGAATGCTTAAAGGACTTAACTAAAATTATTAATGGCATTAGTCGTTTAGGGGATTTTAATAAACATTCATCAAAGCACAAGTCAAAAGCATTATTTTTATACAAAGTCAAAGGTATTACTTTCATACACTTATTACAAAACACATAAATAGTATACCAAGCCTAAGAATTTAAAGAGTCTAGCTTTAATTGTTAATTTAAAAACAAGCATCTAATAAGTAGTCCTTTTTACACATCGAAAAGCCAATTTCGGTATTTTTTAAAAACCCAGATTACAAAATAACAAATACCTGATGTCTTAGTAACCTGAAGATCAGTACTAATCATTAAGCCAGCTTATATGCTGTGATACACAAAAAAAGCCTGTATTTTACAAATAGCAAACCACTAAAACTTTCAATTTTCCACAGAAGCCACTGTTTTATACTAATAATTATGTTAAAGATCAAAACAGGCTAAATGTTTTTAATGAGCACTGAATCCATTAAAACTTGGGTTTTAGGGCCGGGCGCGGTGGCTCAAGCCTGTAATCCCAGCACTTTCGGAGGCCGATTTGGATCATGAGGTCGAGAGATCGAGACCATCCAGGTCGACATGGCGAAACCCCGTCTTTCTAAAAATACAAAAAATTAGCTGGGCATGGTGGCGTGTGCCTGTAATCCCAGCTACTCGGGAGGCTGAGGCAGGAGAATTGCCTGAACCCAGGAGGCGGAGGTTGCGGTGAGCCGAGATCGCGCCATTGCACTCCAGCCTGGGTAACAAGAGCGAAACTCTGTCTCCAAAAAAAAAAAAAAAAAGAACACAAACTTGGGTTTTAATTTTTGTTTAAACCAGGGTAGATGATACACCCTTGTGAAGGTGTCCTGTAACGTACCAATGTCCACTTTGGAATAAGAAAATTATTTCTTGTTTGATCAAGGATTAACCAGAAACTGAAGGAAGTGCAGTTTATAGGATCTTCCATCACGTAGATGGGCACTCAGCAAAAACAAAGCAGTATCCCGGCTCCGTAAGTATCAACGCTAATCTAAGTCATGTATCCCATGCTCCTGTCCAACCATTCCCGCTCATCTGCGGTCTCCCGGGATCAAGGCTTCCTTTTAGTCACGCACTTCTATCCTGCAAGACTGGGTACCTGGGCTTTCTGGGTTTGATTTTACAACACGAGGCGGGTCTGCCCTTACTAAAAATGTAAGACTGCCAAAGGCACACGGTTCACCTCGACCACACGGCCTCTCGGGCCACGTTCCGTGTTTGCAGCCGAAGGGTGGCAGCTAGCTGTCCCGCCGCGGCCGGCTGACAGACCCCCGGGTCCCCGCGGCCCGCGCTGCCGCCTGACAACCGAGGGCCAGGCCTGCTCAACCGGGAGGACGGCCGCGTGCTAGACTTTCTCCTCTGGCTCAGCGGGATTCAGACCGGCCGTCCCGAGGGGACCCGCGCCGCTCCTCCGCTCGCACACAACGGGCGGCCGCGGCCAAGCGAAGCGCTCCGCGGCGGGCGGGGGGGCGGCGCCTCGCCTCCGGTCTGCCCGTTTTAAGGGCACGGCCACCGGCACCCACAGCAGCTCATCGATCACTGTCGCGCTCCGTCGGGAGACAACCCGGAGGGGAAGGCGAGCGGCCGCAGGGCGCCGAGGCAGCCGAACGACCGTGCACACACCCCGGCTCGCATCCGGGTGGCGGCTGCAGCGGGAGTCACGACAAGCGCGATTTCGTGTAAGGCAACGTCCGCGGAAAGGGCTCCCGGCGCGCCACGGCCCCCACCTGATGCGCGGGTGACTCAGGCGGGCCCGGCTCCACTTCACGGATGGGGACACGGAGGTGCGAGGCGGCGAGACGACGGGCCCGAGGCCTCGCTGAAAGATCCGAGGCGGAGCGGAGAACCGGCGGCCCCGCTGCGCTCAGGCTGATGCTCGCGTCTCGGCTCCCCCCGCCCCCCGACTCACACACACCCGCCCCCGGGAACGGCAAGTCTCCTCGGGTTCCAAGGACAGGGTCAAAAGACAAGAGGCCCGCGGCGCCCCCGCCGTGATCTGCAGCCGGAGAGCGTTGGGAGCGTGCGCGCCTCCAGTCCAACATGGCGGCGGCCTCGGCCGCCCCCCCACCCCCAGCCTCCCTCAGGGCCGGAGGCTTCCCCTCGGGGCCCTCCGCTGGGCGGGAAGGCAGCCCAACCCCGCCAGGCCCTTCTCGCCGCTGCCGCTGCTCGCTGACGGAGTCACCTACCCGACATGACTAACGGCCGCGGCGCGGAGGCCCCACGGCCCGCCGAGAACAAGGAATACGGGAGCCAGGCGGCGCGGCGGCCGGAGAGGTACTGGGGGTGGCGCGGCGCGCTGAGGCGGACTGCGGGGCCTCGGCAGCCAATCAGCGGGCGGCGGGCGGCACCACGGCGCCGCGGCAGGAGGGGTGTTTCTGCGCTAGTCCCCGCCGCCGAGCCCTGAGGGCCCTCCCTGGCTCCTCTATTCCCCCCTCCGCCGGCCGTACCATTATTGAGAGGGAACTGAGAAGAGAAAGTACCAACGCCGCTCTCACGGTCGGGGAGGAAGCGGAACCTACTCGCTCCGCTTTAGTTACAGTCCTATTTCTCACTTTATTGGATCTGATGGAATTCGAGGGTAGGAAGCGAAAGGGGAGGGACCTTATCAACACAGGCTGTTTGTTTATGCAGGGCCTTCCTGCCCCTGCGATTTCAAATGGTACGTCCTGGCGGGCGCGCGTCTGCTGCAGGGCGCTCGGGCCGCCTGGGGGCGTTCGGAGCCCGGGCGCCCCGGGACCCGCCGTCGTGACCGGCTCGCCTACCTGGTCGCCTCCCGGTTTGTCGTCGCTGTCTCGCCGGCTGGCAGACGAGAGGACGCTGGAACAAAAGGGTGCTCTAAGACGAACTCGTACGCAAACTTGACCCTGATAGTGTGGCCGGGCGGGGGGCTCGAGCTTTTATTTTCAGCACGGCAATCATAGCTGACTCTTAATTGTCGCGCACCTGACATCAGCTCCTCTAATTCTCACAACAGACTGATGAACTATGTTCCCCGTGTTGCAGATGAGAAGACAGAATTCACTTGATTTAGGTCGTACAGCTAGTAAACGATCAAGGTGGGATTGGAAGCCTGGTAAAGCGACGCCATTGCATGTGAGTTTAACCAGAATACTGCACGGCCCAGAGGGGTGGACCCAAGGCCCCTTGGGCTCTGTAGCGGGAAACGGGCTGGCAAAGCTCAGAGAGTCAGCAAAGACGTTTTCTGGGACGGCATGGCGTCTGAGCCAAACCCTAGGTGATGTGCAGGAGTTGACCAAGGAAAGAAGTGAGCAAAGTACTTTGCAGACTGGTTGGGGAACAAGTAGTTCAAGGGGAGAGGAGAAGGAGATGATGCCCAAAAAGGAGGGAGCTAAGTAGCTGGCGCCTTGTCAAGTGCACTAGAATTTGCACTTTATCTTGAAGGAAATGAGAACCACTCACTGGAGGATTTTATAGGAGAGGAGTCATATCAGGTTGTATTTTCTGGCTGCCAGATGAAAAATGCATAGAGATGAGAGGCGCTTAGAAGCAGAGACCAGTTAGATGGCCCATGCTATAATTTTGGTGAGAGATGATAGTGCCCCGGACTTAGGTAGTAGCTGTAGAGACAGAGGTAAGTGAAGTGATCCCAGAGATACTCCAGGGTAGACTAGACAAGCGTTGGTGATCACCTGGGTGGGAGGAAGCAGTGGAGAGAGAAGAGGTCTGGAGTGAATTCTGGGTTTCCTGCATAGACACGGGACCCTGGTGGTAGTGTCATTGACTGTGATAGGGAACAAAAGGAGGAGCAGGTTGCAATGGGGGTGAAAAGTAAGTTCAGAGTTAATGCCTTCAGATCAGAAAAAAGACAGGAGGTCATCTCTCCCCGTTATACCGGAAGTGATTGTACCCTCAACTCTAGATAGAGAGGGTCACAGAATGCTCTAGACAAGTTCAAACAAGGCAGACTAAAGGAATAAAAATTCTTTCATGACTAAAACCATTAAACCGTTTAACATATATGTTGCAGAAGGCAGTCCAGCAGAGGAGATGGCCATGCCCAACAGAAGAGAATTGGGTTATGGAGGGGAGAGGAAGAGGTAATCCTAGAAGATCCCTAGAGGGACCTAGAGAGTTGTTCTTAGTTATTTTTTTATTTTGAGAATTATTTTGAAAGAAGGAAATACCAAAAGTGCTACTCATCAACTCCTTAAGTTTGTACCACCCTTTATGCACTGCCGTTTCTGGAGGTTTACTATGATAGACTCTGGAAGGCCTTGGAGAGAGAGGAATAGGAAGGAGAGCCTCTGTCTTCCAGGAACTACAGTCTCGTAACAGGGACAGTGTGAACCTGTGATTTTTTTTTTTTTAACTTTTATGTTAGGTTTGGGGGTACATGCGAAGGTTTGTTAACACAGATACACGCGTCACAGGGGTTTTGTCGTACGTATTATTTCATTACTCGAGTATTAAGACCAGTACTCAATAGCTATCTTTTCTGCTCCTCTCCCTCCTCCCATCCTTCCCACTCAAGTAGACGACAGTGTCTGTTGTTTCCTTCTTTGTACACATAAATTCTTTTTTTTGAGACAGAGTTTCGCTCTTGTTACCCAGGCTGGAGTGCAATGGCGCGATCTCGGCTCACCGCAACCTCCGCCTCCTGGGTTCAGGCAATTCTCCTGCCTCAGCCTCCTGAGTAGCTGGGATTACAGGCATGCTCCACCATGCCCAGCTCATTTTTTGTATTTTTAGTAGAGACGGGGTTTCACCATGTTGACCAGGATGGTCTCGATCTCTCGACCTCGTGATCCACCCGCCTCGGCCTCCCAAAGTGCTGGGATTACAGGCTTGAGCCACCGCGCCCGGCCTGTACACATAAATTCTTACCATTTAGCTCCCACTTGTAAGTGAGAACATGCAGTCTTTGGTTTTCCGTTCCTGTTAGTTTGCTAAGGAGAATAGCCTCCAGCTCCATCCATGTCCCAAAAAGTTTCTTGTTGTCTTCGTAGTATTTGTTTCCATATTCGTCTTCCCCACTAATGTACCAACCCTCACATCATTTGCCCTGAAAAAAGTCTGTAGATAGTCTTGGAGGCTGCAGAGTCTGCTGACCTGCTGCCACCGCACATCGGGACCCACGCTAACTCCATCTTGTCCTGCCGAACCTGTGATTTCATCACAGTGATCAATCAATGATTTCATCAACTGCCGAATGTGCTGGGATTGGAGGATGTAGAGTGTGCTCGGAAAACGCAAAAGAGCCCCTTGCCCACATGAAGGGTGGGGAGTATCAAGGAGGACTTGCAGGAGGTGCCTCCTAAACTGCAGGAGGTACCCCCTAAACTGAACTCTGAAGAAAGTACAGGAATTAGGCAGCGAGAATATACCAGGAACGTTATGTTTCAGGCAGAAAAATTTGCAAAGACTGGGAGAGAGCAAAGTTCTTGGAATTGCAAGTGGTTTCGTCTGGCTGGTCTGTGAAGTTGCAAGAGTGAGGAGTTGTAATAAACGCAGTGAAGGAAGTAGGCAGAAGCCATATTCCAAGGAGCCATTTGTGCCTTACCAAGGGGTTTGAACATTAAATTTAAAACAATGGGGAACTCCTGAGGAATTTAATCAAAGGACTGACGTTTTCTATATCCATTATTTCTAGAATGGGCCTATGAAGCAGGTGGTGCTGCTCTCCACCTTTGGTGGATTAGGACCCCACAGCTCAGGGAGGTGAAATCCTTGAGCAAGTTCACACAGCTAATGAGAACACATGCCCAGGCCTTTGGACAATGCTCAGTGTTCTTTTCCCAGTGTCCTTGGTCTCCCATACTTGAAACAAAGAACTCCTCCCAGGTCTGTATTGCTGCGGGGCTTCTTTCCAAGGGTCCTTCTGTACTACAGACTGACTCATAGACTGAGTCCTGTGCCCTCCTGCCTTTCAGGCCTTTGCCTGGAAGTGATTCCACTGGGAATGGTTATCTGTAACAAACTTTCATCTTCACCTAGGCATTTTTTGTTTGTTGGTTTTAGTTTTTGTTTTTGGGAGACGGACTCTCACTCTGTTGCCCAGGCTGGAGTGTAGTGGCGTAACCTCAGCTTTCCACCTCCCGGGTTCAAGTGATTCTCGTGCCTTAACCCCCCAAGTAGCCGGGATTACAGGTGTGGGCGACCACACTCAGCTAATTTTTGTATTTTTAGTAGACACGGGGTTTCACCATGTTGGCCAGGCTGGTCTGGAACTCCCAACCTCAGGTGATCTGCCCACCTGGGCCTCCCAAAGTGCTGGGATTACAGGCGTGAGCCACTGTACCCTGCCATTAGCCAGGCAAGCTTCATGCTGCAAGATCCTGCTCCCCTTATATCCACTTTGCTGGCCTCAGTCTGCATATTTAGAGAAGACAGCAGGTACATTTTACATATCAACTTTAGCAGATTGTCTCTGAGAAAGTCTTGGTACTGGGCCTATTGGCCCTGGATCGATTCCTCCTGTCCTCACAGGGGAGCCGACCCCTGCAGGGTTGCCTCGTTTCAGTTTCAGGAAGTCTCTCAGGCGGTATCTTTCAGCTTCTATTGGCCAGTGGGAGACCTGGTGGGAAATTAGGTGGAAGAAGAGAGAGGAGGGTTATCTCTCCTCCTACTCTCTGCATCAGGGAGGTCTCAGAGCTCCAGTTTCCACTGGTGACCCTGGCTCCTTGGCCCTGGTAACCTGCCTCCTCCCTTTATCCCCCCACCTACAGCTGATAGTCATCTTGCTATTGATGATTTCTGAGTTGCCTCCATACCCTGCTTGGCTTCCCCAACACTCCTACCACTGGTGTAGGACCTTATAAGGACATTACAGGGATTCACTTCGAGTGAGGGCGAAACCATTAGAGGGAGCCATTTGAGCAGAGAGACCCAGCAAGATCTGACCTGTTTTAACAGGATTACTCTGCCTGCTGTTTAAAGCATAGACTCTAGAGGGCAGGGAAAGGTTATTGCTCTGACCAAAGTAAAAACCAGACCATGATGATTTTTTGCCTTTTTTGAAATCCTCTGGAACTCACAGTTGTACCGCATAATTCAAGGCTTGCATTGCCTTGCCTGTTTGCTCTCTAGTTGGGTTGCATCATTCCTTTGTGAATGTCCAGTGCCCAGCACAATGCCTGAAACAGTAGGCATTTTTTTTTAGACAGAGTCTTACTCTGTCACCCAGACAGTGCATTGGCGCGATCTTCCAGGCTTAAGGGATTCTCCTGCCTCAGCCCCCCAAGTAGCTGGGATTACAGGCATGTGCCACCGCACCTGGCTAATTCTGTATTTTTAATAGAGTTGGGGTTTCACTATGTTGGCCAGACTGGTC